ATATTATATATACCTCTTATCACATATAGAATCATATCTAGCACGTATTCCAGGAAATAAGCACATAATTCGCATGTAAGCCCTCAACATATAATTAATACATTTATTAGAATACGATTAAAATTATGATCACGAAAGTGCCTAAGATTTGGACAGAGCTTCGCCTAACACCATAGCTTTTCCTTTGACGTGACCTAGATATTCACATCACTTAGTCTTAGTCTTATATTCTTGTAACTAATGATTTCTAGATTCCCCAATAATCCTAATGTCTACTGATCTATAACTGATAGGAACAAACAGATAAGATTATATCGGAGGTATGGTCTGTTTGGTATACATAGTATACTGTTTGGAAATCCCACTTTAAAACACATCACTAAATCTAGCCTAGACATCATTTTTGTAAGTGATTAATCAAAATAATGACTTGGAATGACTAAATGTTATTTATAGATTCATAATAACAACTATGAACATAAATATAAGTTACACTTGAAATAAGATAAATGTAGCTACTTACATGAATATTACGAAAAACCGAGAAATTACACTGGCAGACCCGATCCAAAAGCTTCAGGCTCCTAGCTACTTTAGAGCCTAACTAAAATACTAAAAAGTTCAGAAAAAGTTGGACCTTAAGGACCAGAGAGATTTCAGAGAGATATATGAAACTCGGATGGGAAATAAAGGAAATTTGATGGGTATTTATAGCTGAACAGGCGCGCGCCATTCACCAAACTGAGGCACGCTGCACCCTTCAAGCGACGTTGCTCCTGCCCCCTACTGCCATGTGTCAGCAACAAATTTTCCCATGTTGCCATGTCGGCATCCTGTTACACATCGCGCCTCTCGCACGTATGCATGTGAATTTTTTATTTTTCCCAAAATCATATCTTCCTCGTACCAGCTTCGTTTTCGACGTTCTTTATATCCACATATAGCTATCGACGAGTACTACAACTTTCATTTGGACGTTGTCGGTTAATTCTCATTTTATTTTTAAAGTTATATTTTTAACAGACTTAGTCTGTTAAAGTCCGTATTAAAATCATAACACTATCAAACGACCTCCGTTCTTGGTTGTTTTTATATTGATGAATTCCTATTCACGAGATCTTCAATTTTCTTTTAGATTGATTTGCCTAACAATCGACCGATTCAAAATTTGGTTTCTGTGTTGCATACTGTTGCGTTGAATCTTTGAAAAATCATAACTTCCTTATATGGAGTCAGATTTGGACGTTATCTATATGCACAAGTTCGCTTTTAGGGCTACTACGACTTTTGTTTAGATTACTTAGGCTAATAACCCACCTATCTCCGATTCACTATTTACGACGCGTATAACAATGTCGGTTTAATCGTGAAACTTCGAAGAAACATGATTTTTTCATACGAAGTCAGATTTAATTAAGCGCCCCTTATATCCATGTGATAGTCATTACGACTACAAATCTTTTAACTAATATTATCTATTATATCTTAAATGTTTAGCCCGAATTTACGGCGTTACACAATGGAAAAAGAGTATTAAGTCTCTAATGGAACATGGTCATGTAATGAATTTTCTAGTCATTGTAAGGTACTTCTGGGATAATTACCCCTCTTCACGAAGTAGTGGACTATATGAAAAGTTCAAAGGGCTAAGATGTCCCCATATTTTTAGAATTAGAGGTATAAAGTCCTTATATTGGTTGTTAGGGGTATAAACTTCCCATTGATGTTCTAATTGTAGCTCTTTGTGTAATTGGAAATTATTTATATGTAATATTATTTTGTTAGTAAACATAAGTTAACACTATAAAATGTGATTATGTTTTAATATCCATGTACTAGTATAAGGGTATAAAACCCAGTATTTTAGAGTAAAGGTAGGAACTTATCTTATTGTGACATTAGGAGTATAAATTCCATTTGTATATTTTGGTTTGGAACACTTCGATAATTGATAATTCGTGTAGAAATGTGTTATTATGAGACATCTAGATTGCCATTAAGGGTATATGAAATCATTATAGTTTGATGTTAAGGGTATATAGTTACTACAACTTGTTTTAAATGGTATGACGTGCTATAATTAACTTGTCGTAATGGTATGGAGTCCTTATATACAGGGCAGGAAGTCCCTATAGTTTGTAAGCTTGACACACACACACAAAAAAAAAAAAAAAAAAAAAAAAAAAAAAAAAAAAGATTGCACATTTACCGTTAGTTGTTATAATTGTTTTGATCAGAAAATTGTATTAACCATTACAATAATATTATTGTTGTTTTTAAAATCCATGTGCTCACGAGAGAGACGTTATTTATCTCATGTATTATCTTATTTGATAGTGTTCCACAATGTTAATGAGAAGTGACTTAGTAGATCTTTAGACTGATAGGTACGAGCAACGCCAAGAGGCGTTAATCTGAGTTGGAGGCCAAATAACGCCGACATAACGGGCAGCACACGGCCCCCCTCTCATGTTTTTATTGTTATGTTAATAATATTTTCATGGTCCACCGGAAGTAACGTGGAAATTAACCAATCAAAAATCTCTCTCTCTCTCTCTCTCTCTTAACATGTTATAACATTTACACAACACTTCCTATATAAATCAAATGGTGGTGTTAAAGATGACATGACATTTGCGTTGGCAAATTTTGGGTATGATAACATGTCTTAACATGTTGCACATACCCAACGATGATGCATCTTTTGTGAAGAATTAGACGACCCGAGGAGTAGCATGCGGGAAACATTAGTTTGTGCGTATGATTTTAGTGTACCTTATATTGTACAATTGCTTCATTATGACTTTTATGTTTTGTTACACCCATGATGACACCATTATTGAATAATATATTGGAAAAAGTTGACCACATCCAATCGACAAAGACATTATTGCAAATGATGTCATGTTGCTAATTGCCGATGATTAAAGTTGGGGTATTACAACATTAAACTTAAAATAACATGTTAATTATACGATATGTACTTCTTATTGTTCATGTATCGAGCAAGCTCAGAATCGTACGAACTTCCTTATAGCCCTTATACTCGCTCCACCACTTCATGAAACTACTCCCCTCCACGAAATCTCAGGAGACACGAGAAATCTTTTATCGAATGCAAAACATATACCTCAAATTTCTCGATGTCAGTTGCAATATTGTTTCGGTCCCCATTCTTTAAGTCTCTTAGGGAAATCAATGCCTCCTCTACATGCGCCCAAAAGCAAGAATCCTCGGTAAGACTAGCAGCCTTCGTTTTTGCGTCGCTTGGCTTACGACCCTTCTTTTCTTCCTCCGACCCACTTCTCTAATAACTTGTAGTGGTTTGGTCTAACCGCCATGTAGTTTGTTTTTTCCCCTTTTGTAGTGGTCGGCTATGTCTAGTGGCTCGACAATCCTCCTGTAGTTGGTTCCAGCGTAAAGCCAACGCTTACGCAACTTCGCACCTTCTTTTTGTGGCACTAGATCATTTTCTTCCACAGTCTTCTTCCAGTACTGGTTCAAATTTAGTTGATGTCTGATGGCTTCATTTTTTCCCATGATTTCGGTTGCGCTTTTGGCATCCTTATAGCTATCATAGTAACCCCCTGTTAGTCTTCGGGTCTTCATGTACCATTCTATGTACGTCAAGATTATCTTCATGTCGTTTAGCTTCTTTGTAGGCTCATACACGTTCCTACTTTTGATGATCATCCTTGTTTGCTTCTTTTCCATTTTCTCGATCAAATCATTTGAAATATCATTTAACGCACCGATTTCTTGAAACTGGAATACAATTCCGGCCCTCAACGGGCTTAAGTTGGATTCGTTGAATTTGGAAGCCCCGTGATACAATGCCGTCTTTCTGATCGAACCCAACTCTTTACTATAATCGTGCATTTGGTAGCTTTCAGCATTTTGTGTCACCATAGCGTCTAGAACTGCCAAGATCGCCTCTTGATCTTCAAAAGCTGTGTGCCCACCTGATTCTGTGCAGAAAAGGAAAGTGCCGAAAGGCTTGTATTCACTATTCGATGAGAAAAAACTAGCAAGAAGATCTGTCTTCGCGACCACATTCAGGAAAGATGATTTCCATTGTGGGCGTTCAGAGATGGCGCCTTGGAGATGTTGGTTACCAATAAGGGGCGAACCAAAAGTTATGCAAATCGGACGTTTGGCAGTTTTTGAACCGTTAGATTCTTCCAAATCTGCGTAATGTTGATGCAGGAGGGTGTAAAGAATGGCGAGGTATCCACCTAGACCACATCCGGTGACAACCAACTGACCATTTATAAGCTGAAAAAAGAACGATTTAAACCATTAAGAACAGATACTACATTTGATCTTGAGTTCTGAATCTGCGAAAGTAAAGATATACCTGATTTGAGAGCTCGGATAGCTCTTTAAAATGAAGCTCAAACAACTCAACAGCAGCTTTGTTAATGGATAAATTGGGGTTGACTTTTGTCGAAATGAAGTCGACGACTTTATGCTTATCTGATGAAACCAGACCTTCTCCATTACGAAAACGAATTGTATAATCAGACAAACAGTTGAAAGCCAAAACTTTGATCCCAGAAGGACTCGTGTCAAGTTGATAAGTGGAAGAAGTTTGAGAAATTGCTCGATAAGCATCTTGAATGACATCTATGCTGCCAAGAAACTTGCCCCCTTCGACTTCACTGCTGAACCTGCAAGTTGTTATGAAACTTATTTTCAAGATTCGATATTTTTATGATGAAAGAGATTAAGATCGATGCAAATCTAGCTTACATCTTTTGGCTCATCTTCTTTCTTGTTTCTTTTTGAGAAACTTTTTGGTGTGTTTCTTTCAGATGTTGAAGACAATGGAACGAAGCTTTCAAAGATTCGTTGTCGCAATAATGTAGATGTCAAGAAAGATTTATTTATAATGCACAAGAATTCGTTGGTATTGGGGTGTGTCTAATCCATACGAAAGGTCGTGATGATTACAATTTTTTGTATTTAAATGTGGAGGGTTTCAAGTTGCAAGTTCGTTTCCAAAAGTCGTCGATAAAATCTTTATTTATTTAAATTGGTGTAAATTACATTTTTATTCCTTATGGGTTCATATGTTTTATGGATATATGCATTTTATCATTTCTAACGTTTTCATCCTCCAAAGACTCATTTTCACTTTTAGTCCTTTGGGTAAAGGCGTTAAGTATGTGTAAACGACAAATATGTACTTTTCTTTTTAATTTGTTGATAATTGTGGTTAAAGTTAATTTTTGAATGGAGCCCAATCACTCACATATGTTCAAATACTTCATTTTTGTCCCGATGCTTTTCAACCATATTATGCACTAATTAAAACATGACATTCAACAAGCATCCCTTGTGTGCAGAAAATCCAAACTTGGAGATGAAACAATCACCATTAAACACAGGCTTGAAGGGGATCTCATGTTTTGATGACTATAAACGACTAAAAACATCTAAGTCATTTTAAACACGAACTAAACTTGAAGAGAAAGGTGTCATTGAAGGAAGACGACGATAGGTGGGTGAGCTCATAGAAAAAGTCAATAAGACAAAATTTAATAATTGTATAAAAGTAAACGCAAATTTGTTATTTTATACAAACTTAACGTCCTTTCTTCACAAAATCAGACTCGGGGAGCAAATATGTGACAATAAAACTTTTACAGCAACTGAGGAAGAAGTTAGAATGAAAAATTATTGCACCACATGGGCGAAAAAGTTTAATTTACCTTTGAAATGATTAGAGTCTTCGGATTAACATCTACTAGAATTCTTTTTCTTTATTTTTTGACGGTTTATCAATAAATATCTTCAAAATTATTCTGCTAACTATTTATTTTTAAAATGATGGGTGCCGACAATAATGTCATTATTAGACCTTCTTTTGGTTGTTTGTGTTGTTTGGACATCCCTTCAAACTCTTGATCGGATGTGATTTCTCTCTCATAATTAGGCCCACACGTAGAGAGTTGATTGGTTCAAATTGATCTAGGTCGATTGTGAGACTTTCCATATTAGGCTGATGGGAGTGGAAGCGCTAAGGAGTAGTGGCGGACGCCGAAGGTTTTAGTAGGGGTGACACTAAAAAAAAATTTCCGAAAAAATCTAAATTAGTAGTGGCACTCGTATTTTAAGCCGGTGCCCTAATAGAAAAAACATAAAAAAAACATAAAAAAAAGAAATTACACTACGTGCCGGAATCGGAGCAGTGGCCCGGGACCCCCCGGGCACCACTAAGGTTCGCCACTTGTAACACCCAAATTTTCGAATAATTTTTCACAATTTTTAAAACATACTTTCATTCATAAAATAATAATAAACTTAATGTATCCACTGTCATCATAGAAAAACATATCCCAGAATCATATAAACAAAAGCTCCATGAGTGTGTACAGATCATGCCGGCGCCTTCCCGTGATCATCACTGGTACCTGAAACACATACACAAAACTCTGTAAGCATAAATGCTTAGTGAGTTCCCCAAAATACTACATAAACACATATCAGCCACTCAAGGCTGTAACTCTGATGACCCTCTGGTCGAATATCTCTGTGGGACCCTCTTGGTCCCATAACTCTATGGACCCACTGGTCCTAACTCTGTAAACTCTGAATCATGCATATCACATATCACATAGAATCACAACACATAAATAACATACAAGATACACTGTCACATAGCTCTGATTACCACTCTAGGTAAAGTATAGTGAGAAGACTCACCTCGGGAATCTCGGTAAAATCTCGATATCAGAATACTGCCCTAGCCTCCACCTAGTCACAATAATAAATTTCACTAAATAAATGTCGCTTCACAATTTGGATATTCTCTCATGCAAATCCCTAGAAGGGTAAAAGACCATTCTACCCCTCTACAGGCCCAAGGCCCATTTGTTGACAAACCCTAAAAGTCAACCCAAAAGTCAACTGTCCATTTTGACCAGACTCGCCGAGTGCATACGACGACTCGGCGAGTCTCATCGTCCCCACAGACTCTTCCCTTTCTAAGCCTCACTCGACTCACTGAGTCACCCCTCAACTCACCGGATCACCACTGGAGTCAGACCTCGGGGCAACCCGGTCCGACTCGTCGAGTCTACATATGGACTCGGCGAGTTTCCTCCATGGACTTGCTCATACAACCTCCTGAGGTCAGATCTGCTTAGCCAAATCATAGATCTAACCCTTAAACACTCAAAAGTCACGTAAAGGTGCAACCTTTACGTGCATGCAACCCAATTCAAGCCTTAAATGGAGAAATAACACTAGAAATGGCAACCTAGTCTCCAATTGCTTATTTGCTTGCAAAAAGCTAGAAGGTAATGACTCTAGGGACCTTTCATGGTCCAGATCTGATGTCATAACCCCAAAGAGGACCTCATACTCACTAGATCTTTCATAAAATGAGGGTAAAAACCCTAAAATCAAGAAGTCCATCAATATAACACGAAATGGAAAGGTTTATACCTCCAAAGATGATATCACGACATGATTAGCTCAGATCCAGTCCCCTTCACACTCTAGATTTGTGCTCCTATCTTCCTTCAAGCAAAACCACACAAAAAGATGAAGAAATAGCCTCCTCTTGCCCTCAAACTCACTATCTCAGCTCTCTAGGGTTTCTCTGGAACAAGGTGGCCGCAAATGAAGGCCATAAAGGTCTTTAAATAGGCTCCCAAACCCGAGGATTAGGGTTTTCCTAATCAGCACCGACTCGGCGAGTCAGGTCCCGACTCGTCGAGTCCGTTCGCGAAAATACGCCAATAGATCAGACTCTACTCGACGAGTTGAGGCATCAACTCGTCGAGTTCCTCAATAAAACAATAAATAAATAATTAAATTAACATACCCGAACTCAGGATGTTACACCACTGCTAAGGAGCTCGCTAGGAAAAAGAACATCTCCCCTAGCTCTCGATAGGGGGCTCGCTACGGCGTAACGAGAGGAAAGAGGGAAGATTGCTTGAATGTGATTAGCTGTTAGGGTATTGATGATCCACCTTTTTACAAACAAAAGTTCACATTTTTTTATTAATTTTTTTTAAATCAATTTCAAAATTTCAAATTTCAATCCAATCCATATAAAAATTAACACTACACTTTCAACAATTCACGCACAAACTATCATTCTTTTTTCACAAATTGACTCTCTCCTTTATAAAAAAATGTCATCTTCATCCTTGTCCTCGTCTTCATCATCATCGTCATCTTCATTGGACAATGTTTTTGATAGCGTAATACAATCAGCGATCTCCATACGTAATAGGCTAGAAAAACATGTTAATAACCATGAAGCGACCAATATGCAACGTAAACAAATAAGATATATCCAAATATAGCATGCAACTTCTAGTGACATACAAAATTTGTATGCTCATCATGCGAATGTGTATAGTTTACCTGGGATGTAAAGAAGTTTAGATTGCATGCATTGGAGATGGAATTTGTGTCTAAATGCATATCATGGACAATACACAAAGGACAATTAATTAGGCCCACACGTAGAGAGTTGATTGGTTCAAATTGATCTATGTCGATTATGAGACTTTCCATATTAGGCTGATGGGAGTGGAAGTGCTAAGGAGCTCGCTAGGAAAAAAGAACATCTCCCCTAGCTCTCGATAGGGGGCTCGTGTCACACCCCAAAACCGGAACGACGGAAACGTTCGGGGGCGGAGGACGTCATGTACAGTATCACAACAATGCATAATAGTAAAACAAGCAACAACATCATCCATTGCATTAATAGTATAATTTAATACAAGTGAGTTCTGTATAGTTTGTAAGACACCAAAAATATGAATCAAAATAAGAGATGAGTCTTGAATGTGCTCCATCTTCTCAAAACCTGGTCATCGGTACCTGTCTACTGGCGACTTGAGAATACAAGTTATTTTGAAAGCGTAGATCAACATTAAAGCTGGTGAGTTCATAAGTATTTTAGTGTCATTGTTTGTATCAGTTTGAAGAAAGTGCTTGTAAATGTTTGATGTAAAATTTTGTAAGTGTTTGATGTAAATGTTTGTAAACTTCCTATAAAATCCTATATTTTCTACTAAAGTAGTCTTCTACCAAGACTCAACTGTTCTTTATGTTTGTTCTTTTGTAAAAGTGTGTGTGTTTTCTCAAAGTACGACTATTATTACCAAATATAGTTTTCATTACCGTTTATGTGAGAAGATCACAATGTGAATGAAATGGGAAAATAAAGATGTACTGTACTTTTATCTATGTAACTACCAATGTACTAACTACCTTAAACCTGTTTGTTTAATTAAGGTAAAATGTGATAAGATTGTAACCATACTTGATTGACTAGTATAACACGACGTTCGAGACGTCGACATGATATGACATTCGTCACCAGTAGACCTGCAGGTCCCACTGTAGCTAGCAGCAAGGTGTAGGATGGTCAGTCCCGTATAGATCTCTACACATATTCACGCTCTCCCTCCAGGAGACTCTGGGTACAAAACGTGACACAGCAGTATATTGCCGAGCCATGAAGTAGTATCTCACATTAATGTTATAGTATTCTTGTGTTTGTATAGTATGTTCTCTCTGTCTAGTATATGGTATGTTCTCTAGTGTATAGTGTGTAGTATGTATTGTTTCTCTTTATAGTGAGTATTGTCTATCGTTATAGTATGCTCTATCTGTTTCTCTTTATAGTGAGTATTGTCTCTCGTTATAGTATGTTCTATCTGTTTCTCTTTATAGTATGTTTGAACTGACTCATGTATGAACTGACTCTTGTATGTTTCATTGTTCTAGTAATAGTAAGTAGTGACTTCCTAAACTATACCTATTATAGTTTACTAGTAATGTTGTTTATATGGATGAACATGTTTGTACACCTTTGCTACCCAAAGGTATTGAACTGAACAAAGAACTTTTATATCCATATACATATACATAATATAT